AAAAAAAAAAAAAAAAAAGTAAATAAACATTTTTATAAAAATTCCGTGAATTCCCAGAATTCACCCCACATCCCAAACCCATTCAGTTCAAATCTCTAGATTGCACGAAGAGCCTGGAACTGTGTGACAAGCCCTTAAACTAATTCTACTGCTACGGCAAACTTGGGAAATGCTGACCTGTATCAAACAGAACTAGAAAAACTCTCTGCCGTTTCTTCAGGTTCTAACCTGCCAACCAGCTTCCCCTCACCTACCCTTGCCCCTCTCAACCCACGTACACACTCACGGAGACCCATGTACACACGCACACACACCAAGGAGCGTGCCCACACGCATTCCTGTGCGCGCCTCTGTTGGGTGGGACCATGTGGAACCGCCATCTTTATAGGTCAAAACAGACAAATTCCAGCAGTTTCATAGGCTCGACCGGGCACCTATGCATACACAGGGGCGCAGAGATGCACCCGCACTCTCATATGACACACGCAAACACATGTGCACGCGTGCACCCACGCATGCAGAAAAATTCACCTACGCCCGTCCCCACGGCTGTGCCGGTGAGAACCCAGTCTGGGCTCCTCCGGTCCCCCCTCCCCCGATCCTGTGCTTTCCTTGACGCTAGTCTCAGATGCTGACCTGTCTCCCCACAGGAGAGTGAAGACCTGGAGAAACAGAACGCAGCTCTGCGCAAGGAGATCAAGCAGCTCACGGAAGAGATGAAGTATTTCACGTCGGTGCTAAGCAGCCATGAGCCCCTGTGCTCGGTGCTGGCGGCCAGCACGCCCTCGCCCCCCGACGTGGTATACAGCGCCCATGCCTTCCACCAGCCTCACGTCAGCTCGCCTCGCTTCCAGCCCTGAGCTCTGAGAGGCGGTGGGGGGCGGACGGAGCCCCCAGCCGCCCTGGCCGGCCTCGGGAGGGGCACACAGACTGTGGCCAGGCCGCCCTCGCCCCTCAGGGCCCTCTCTCCCTCCGGAGACCCAGAGGCAGAGGCCCGGACAAGGATCGAGCGCAGGACTGTACCGGCCGAGAGGGTGTGAGGTCACCCAGCGGCGTGGCCGCCTGTCAGCATGTGCCGGGCCCCCGTGCGGACGGGAGGCCCAATCCAGAGTCAAATCCGACACGACGCCCAAGTCCCATGGCACAGAGGGAGGAGGGCAGGGTAGGGTTATTTTTCTAAATAAATTTCTTAAAAGCAACGGGTCTGGCAAGAGGTTCTCTTCTTTCACGTAGTCCCTTGAAAGCCTAGGTTCTGCGGGGGTGGGGGCCTTCTTTTGCTCTTGGTCTCAGCTCTGGGGACTCTGCTAATCTCTTCTTTTCCATGGTTTGGTTGGCCTACTTGGGAAGCTGGGTGTTTTTTTATTTTTTATTTTCTTAATGTTTATGTTGGAGACAGACTGTGAGTGGGGAGAGGGGCAGAGGGAGAGGGAGACACAGACCCCGAAGCAGGCCCCAGGCTGTCAGCACAGAGCCCGACGCGGGGCTCGAACCCATGAACCGTGAGATCGTGACCCGGGCCAAGGTCGGGCACTCAACCCATGGAGCCACCCAGGAGCCCTGAGCTGGGTTTTTTCAAAGCATCTTCAATCCT